GTGCCTGGTGATCGTTCTGTCAGCATTGCTGATCACACAAAACACAAAGTACAACACGCCTGTGACCTCCTTGTGCACACGCAAGAGTGTAAAACAATGGTGAATGTGTTTCCACACTGGCAGCATCTCCCATGGTATGAGCTCCATGCCTGGTCTGGGCCTGCACAGCCAAGGAGTGCCCACAGTTCCTGGTGTGTTCCAGGAGAATGAAGCTCATCTGTGAGCTCACAGAGCCTCCTTCCTGACCTGAGATCAGGTGTGGCTTTACTGCACTTTACTTCATTCTGACCATCAAACAAGAAGGTTTGATTTCAGGCAGATGCTTGATAGTGGGCTCTGGTGTATCATTTGTCACTGTCAATCTTTGTTGTTTGTTTTTGTCAGTCATATGCACTCTGCACTTCTGACAGTATCCCATGTATTGTATACTGTCATAACCTCAATGAGTCACTACATGTAAAATACACTGCTCATAGGTAAACACTGATTTGGTAACTGTTGATAAATTATTTTCATGTTCTTCACATTGTTTTATCAATCATTTGATTCCTTATTTGCTTTCAATTTTGTACCCAACCTCCAACCTCCGTATAATCCTGTCCTCCCTCCATCCTTCCTCATTCTCTAGTAACCAACACTTCCTTTTCTGTTCTATGCAGTCTATTTCTTCTAGACATAATGTGATACTGGTGTTTCTATGGTTGGTTTATTTCCTTTAAGCTAACTTCCTTTAGGTCTATCACAAATGACAGTCTTTCTTCCTTTCTGTGTGAGTACTGTTCCATTGTCCACACCTATCCCATTTCCTTTATCTGTTCTTCTCTTGTTGAACCTTTACTTTAATCTCAGGCCCTTCCTCAAACTAAATGTGTAAAAAATACCCACAGAACAACTTAAAACTTTGGAGTTTGCATTCTCAGCAGAAGAACTCCTCCCCACACTCTACCAGAAGACCAGCATTTATATTTTCCATGTTTGTGATAACAGTCATGCTGACTTAGGTGAGGTGATATTTCACTGTGGGATTGATTTGCATTTCATTGATATTAGCATATTATCTTGTACATCAATATTTGTCTTTTTGTTGTC